TGAAACTTGCTCTTGAATGTAGAGTAGCTAAAGAGAATGGAAGAAATGATGAAGTAAAGAGCTGAAGAGAAGATTTCAAAGGACAGCTCGGGATGACAAAGTAAAGTATTATGATGAAATGTACAAATGCCTGGAGTTAGACAATCAAAAGGGAAAACATACCCAGCATCTTCAAGCGAAAGAACTAAAGAAAAAAATTCAAGCCTCAAGTTGCAATACTGAAGGATTTAATGGGAAATATACTGAATGATGCAGGAAGCATCAAAAGATGGAAAGAATACACAGAGCCACTGTACCAAGAAGAACTGGCCAATATTCAACCATTTCAGGAGGTAGTATACGATCAAGCACTGATAGTATTAAAGGAAAAAGTCCTAGTTACACTGAAGGAATTGGCAAAAAACAATACTCCAGGAACTGACACAACACCCATTGAGATGTTTCAACAAGGAAGCAGCGATGGGAGTACTCACTCATTTATGCCAAGAAATCTGGAAGAGAGCTATCTGGCCAACTGACTGTAAACGATGTATATCTGTGCCCATTCCAAAAGAAAGGTGATCCAACAGACTATGGATATTATCAAACAGTATCATTAATATCACATGCAAGTAAAATTTCGCTGAAAACAATTAAAAAATGGATTCAGCAGTACATTGACAGGGAAATGCCAGAAATTCAAGATGGATTCAGAATAGGATATGGTATGAATAAGGGTATCACTGCTGATGTTAGATGGATCTTGGTTGAAAACAAAGAATGCCAGAAAAATGTTTACTTCTGTTTTACTGACTACACAAAGGCATTCAACTGTATGGATCAAACAATTTATGAATAACTATATTACAAAGAATGGGAATTCCAGAACACTTAATTGTGCTCATGAGGAACCTGTACATAGATCAAGAGGTAGTCATTAGAACAGGAAAAGAGGAGACTGCATGGTTTAAGAGCAGGAAAGGTATGTGTCAAGGCTGTATCCTTTCACCATATTTAATGCAATCTCTATGCTGAGCAAATAATCTGAGAAGCTGGACAAGAAGATGCAACATCAGGATTGGAGGAAGGTTCATTAACAACCTGTGATATGCAGATGACACAACTTTGCTGGCTGAAAATGAAGATTTGAAGCACTTATTGATGAAGATCAAAGATTACTCCCTTCAATATAAAATATACTTCAACATAAAGAAATAAAAAATCCTTACAAGTGGACTAATAAGCAACATCATGATAAATGGAGAAAGACTGAAATTGTTAAGTATTTCATTTTACTTGGATCAAATCACTGGCCATGGAAGCAGCAGTCAAGCAATCAGATGACATAATTCAGTGGGCGAATTTGCTGCAAGAGACTTCTTTAGAGTATTAAAGAGTAAAGATGTCGCTTTGGAGACTAATGTGGGCTTGAACCAATCTACTGTATTTTCAATAGCCTCAAATACATATGAGGCCTGGACAAAGAAGGGAAGCCACAGAAGAATTGATCCACTTGAACTGTGGTGTTGGTGAAGAATATAGAATATACCAGCGTCTGCCAGAAGAATGAATAAAGCTGTCTTGGACTAAGTAAAGCCGGAGTGCTCTTTAGAAGCAAGAATGGTGAACCTTCATCCCTTGTACTTTGGTATGTTATCAAGACAGACCAACTCCTGGAGAAGGGTATCATGCTTGGCAGAATACTGGGTCAGCATAGAAGGGAAGACCCTCAATCAGATGGATTGGCATAGTGGCTGCAACAATGGGCTCAAACACAGCAAAGACTGTGAGGATGGTGTAGGATCAGGCAGTGTTTCACTCTGTTGTACAAGGTGGCATTATGAGTCGAAATTGCCTTGACAGCACCTAACAACAATATCGTTAAACCACTTCAAATTTTGCTTTGTTAAGAAAAATTAATTTTCACATTACCAAACTCAGAATATAAGAAAAAGCCTCTGGTTTTTCTTACTCATCAGAATTACCTGAGTATGCAGAAGTTCTTCTTGGAGTTGGTCAATTTTTTCTTTGTCTGAAACCTAAATTGTTAAGGTAAATTAATTTTTGGATTAGTAGAATTAAGTTTATATAAACTATATAGTAAGTGATTTAAAAAAAAAAAATTCCTTTTAAGTATAAAACCTACAGTTTTACCTGGACATTTAATCAAATTTTAAATCAAATGATTAAAAAAAGCAAAAACAAAACAAAACAAAACTGTATTCATCAATAAAAATAACTTAAGACTTTATACTAAGAATTAAAAACCTAAAAAAGCAATCATTTTTTGGTTGCCATTCTACTCATTTCATATGAAAAGCCATGAGAAAATAAGAGATCAACACATACAGCTACTATTTCCCTCATGGGGTATTTTGTACTAATGCACCAGGAATTAAATACTTGGAGAAATAAAACATGGATAACCCTACAGAAATGTGTTCTGGGAAATCATATACATGTTACCATTGGCAACTCTAAAAAACTTGTTGGTAGTTGCAGAACTTTTAAGCAAATATTATCTATTTCTGTGTTATAAAGAGGGAAACATTACAAATGCAAAGAAAAACTTGCATTTTCAGAGCTTTAACTATAGCTACATGCTTGTTTTTAAAAATGTTCCAGTGCAGTATCTGCTAACCCATAATCTAGAGAATGCATTGGCATCAGTAAAGCCAAGTAAAACAACTAAAACTGATTTGAACTTAAAACAAAAAACAGAATAAAATCATAGGTATTGTGTAAACTACTTCAAATTGCTATTTATACGAATAGTTATAAGATAAATTTATCAAAAAAAAAAACCCAAAAAAACTTTACTGTGTAACAGGCTTTCAAGCAATCACAATACAATTTTAAACACAAAATACCATGATCAATCATAAATTGGATAATAAATGCAGATAAATAAAATGCTAAAGAAATTTCATTTATGACACATCCACGTAACTGTGCTTTGACTCCGTGATGAGGTGTGGCACTTGCCATCCTCAGTCTTTCAAAATAATTGCCTAATTTCTGATAATGAAAGTGTAAATACGAAAATTTATTTCACAACAGAGAAAAATCAATTTAAATTAATATTTGTTTTCATTTACATCCTTTTTCATCTTCATTCATTGGCTATTTAAGCAATCAAGACATCATGGTAGTAAATATTTATGAAAAAACTTTTAATCATTTGCTTATTGAGGTAGACATTAATAAGTCTTGTTCATACTATGGAAAGCTATTTTCAAATTTCAATTCCTATTTCTAATAGTTTCTTAAAAATTGTCAAAAAATTTTACTTAATATAGAAAACAATCTTTGTTAGAAGTGATGTTGTTATTGTTGTTGTTGTTATGTGCCATTGAGTCAGACTCAACTCATAGCAACTCCTCCTTGGGTTTCCAAGGCTGTATCACTACAGAAGTCGATTGCCCAACTTTCCTTCTGAGGAGTGGCTGGTAGGTTTGAACTGCCAGCCTTCTGGTTAGCAGTCAAGTGCCTTAGGCACTATGCTACCAGAGCTCCTGTTAGAAGTGACACATTTTTTCTTAAAATCCTATGTCTAAAAATCTCTAAACATGACTGAGGTAATCAGGAAAAGGTAAGCTAATATAAAACAAACTTTTATTGTTCTCCCATTCATGTATAGCAAGCAGAGGCTTACTGATAGAAGAGTTTCATTTTAACTAAGTCTGTGGGTGTAGAATGAACAAGAATCATTACCAGTCTCAGAAAAGGTAAGGAAACAAGCAAGTTGGGGGAGGAAGCCCATATCCAAAGAAGAAAAAATTGAAGGTCAATGAAGAAATAAATGATTTCATATTTGGATTGTATGGCATACTATCATCCTGAAATTGTATGGTCATAACATTTTTTAATACAGATTAAATTACCAATTCATTTTGAAGGGTACTAAAATGGATTTACTTTGTTCCATTAAATATTCATCTAACTGCAGCTAAATAAGTACAAAATGTATAAAGAATATTAGTATAAATGTTTTAGTTTGGATTGCAAACATTTAATTATTTCATGCAAGATATTATAAAATCACTATAAAAATATAACATTATATCTGGGACAAAAATTAAGAAACTAATACAATTACACAAAAATCTTAGAATAGTTATTATACGACAAAGGTTATAAAAGATTAACCTGCTTAGAAATTTGGTAAAATACAAAGGTTATATAAAAAGTTAGAGTGATATAAGATAATTGGGATATTAAAATATTTATGTTAATATTAGTATTTAGTATAAGGTTTTAATATATTAATATTCTTTGGAGTATATAAATTTATCATATGCCCAAATGGCACAATTTTTAGGAATAGCTCATGCAGTGTACCGATACAGTTCCTCTCTGCTTAGTTTAACGGAACATAAAAATTAATCTTAATGCTCTATTAAAGGGAGGTGGTGGTGGAGCCAAGAAATGCATCAATTATTTTTCAGGAAAAAAGAAGAAAACCTTTACCTTTACAAAATAAGTACTATAAATTGAGAAGATATGTTTACATATTCTCTTAAGAGAACAACATGTGCTATTTTTAATCTGCCACTTATTCTAGGTCTTTACTAGCAATTTGGGTATATTTTAGTTTATTATAATGTTGTCTCATTTTACAGTGTTGTACTGAAGGTCATGATGCACTTTATTGTTAAAATTTAGCCACTTACGACAAGAGTAAGTCCAGGTCCTGTTGCTTAACATATTTAGTTTGTATTTTGAAATGAATTAAAAACTCACCCTGACAGAAATGGGTATCAGTGGTCTTGAAACCAAAGCTTTTCTACAATGCCAGGGCTGTGAAACTGATGGAGAAAGAGCGGAATCCTCCGCAGAAACAAGCTAAAGCTGAAAGAGAAAAACCTTTACTAGCTCCTCACAGAACCAAGCCTGATTTTAAAAGTTTAAGTATTTTTTCCTATGAAGCCATTGAGGCTTTTCTGATATACATTTATAAAAGATATACAAGACACTCATTTTTAAATATTCTATGTAAGTGTACATACCCATAGGAGGCAAAACTACCAATGGGAGTTTTAATCTATTCTCTCTGCTCGATCTCTTTTGCTCAGAAGATACAGGGAAAATGCATTAGCTGGTACTAGTAAGATACT